ATCTTTCGGATCGTAGATTCAATCGTGTCTTTCACAATTAAGTAGATCTTGTGTGCCACACTCGGCGATCGAGAATACGCTTCGTTTCTTATTGTAAACGATTAATCTGTGTCTTGATTCAGAATGAGCGTTTCGTGAACTTGCAACTACGTCGACGCGTTTATCGTGTGATCTTTATCACCACAAGAATGTCGAATATCTGCCACAAAATAAAATCCGAAACGGACGCCTTCTTTGCGATCACTTGAGCGACGTTATTTCGATCGCCGATCATGACAGGATATCGAAAATTCGTCGTGCACATGTCATAGATGTGTTTACGCACCACGTGCCAGGGATCGGTTTCGTAAAATCCGCGCAACAATTCCGATCTTGGATGAATAATGCTGCCTGGAGAACATTGCGTAAAGAAAAAACAAGTTTAACGAGTTATCAGTATAACTGCTTGGAGTGCAAAATAACAGAATAATAATTGAAATGACTGATATTTATAATATGCTGTATTAGTATCATTTCTCACATTACATAATTCATTCAAGATTAAATCGTTGGATATTACATCCTCCTTCTCGAAAACGTGTAATCATTTCAATTTTGCAATTTTTGAATTTTTAAAATCTCGTAAAACAAGAAAAATTCTTGTTAATTGTTATATCCTTACCTGAGCATCAGTTACAAAAAACAGAATCGATCCCGGGCACTCGTTTCTTCTGATACTAGCTGTAAATCTTCTGGAGGAAGTCACATCTGAAAATATCGAATCCGATTCCGACGAATCGAAGTTGACGCATTTCACTCGTAATAATCCCATTATCGAGCAGATGTAATTATGGTAATTGAATTGAATCGAATTGAAACAAACTGCCCCTTCGTCGCTCGATTTGTCGGAAAGGCTCGTTTCTCTTGAACGGTCGAGACTACTCGATGTATATGCATTGCATCGCCGTTATAGAGAGCCGAACCTCACCATCGGGAAATCGTGTAGCCGATCCCAGCCTTTCTTTAAATTATCGATTATCACGTATCGAGCCGAGTCATTTACGAGTCGTGTCACGCGAATGACGCGAAATCAAAGCACGTGTTTTCCGAATCAAAACAAAGATGAATATTTACCTAAATGATGCCGAATCGACATAACTCTCGATCTTTCATCAAGATCATTTCGCGAGTAAGTTACGTCGATACACTTTATTCTTAATAAATAAAATTAATAAAACCTTTTTTGTAAATTTTTTTTATTTACGCATTAAATTTTGACTTTCGTGTTTAATATTTTAATGTATTTCTTTCTTATTTACATTTTATTATAGTAGGTATTACGAAATACAGTAAAGAGGGGAATATAAATTTGACACAGTTTAAATTAAATAACTTTATTATAACTTACAATTAATTACTTCTAAAATTAAATTTAAATTAATACTTTGTTTTTCGCTGAAGGATAATTGAGAAGGAATATGTAGTCTTTATTTTTATAAAAAATACCAAATTAATTGTAATCGCGAAAGTTAATGTCATTCAAACGAAAATCTGTCGAGAGTTTGATCGAATAGTCATATAGTATTCGGGCTTTTGGGTAAATAAAAAGAAAACATCAATGAGATATAAAGATGACCATACAAAAGGAAACACAAAGCACCGAAGACTGGCAATCAAAACTACTGTAAGCTGATCCATCGCGTATATTTATTGCGACCGGCACGATCGCGAACGGCGATCAATCCTCATAACAGTGCGTTTACATTGCACGATTGTGTTGCGATATCGTGAATGATATCAATACATTATTCAAAATATACTACAGAAAATATACTACGAAGTTAGGTAAAACGTAATCAGAATATAACGATTATGAAAATAAAATAATAATTGAGCAATTTTTAATGATGATGAGTGAATAATAAAAATGAACAAAGTCCTTTTACTGTTAAATTATGTATGAGCAATTTTTGATTATAATTGATTGAGAAAATTAGCAAATATTAACATATTTTACATAAATAGATGTTATACGATCTCGCTCGAAAATCGTGCAATGTAAGCACGCCGTTGGCCAATTCTTTTCGCAATCGCGAAAGAGAACCATGAAAAAGACTGTTCCTTTCCTTTCGCGATATCCAAGGGAAAAGATTAAGTCACACTTTTGTAGCGCATCTTAAAACGTAATGTACAGTTTACCGTTATCGTAGCAAACCAACAGGCGACAGAAATCGTCGTTATAGCCGTCGTCCATTTCCGATTTCCATATACCATACACACACTCGTACGTACACACACATACACACGGCCGTCGATCGTGCCGGCGGAGAAGAGAGTTCGATACGAGACTAATAAAGAAAAAAAAAAGAAGAAAAAAAGCGACTCCACAAAACACAACTCTCCTTCTAAATTAGGCACGGACCGTATGCGTACACACGGTCGATTTTTTCGAGTAAAATTGCGCGTCTGATGTAATATTAGCGAGTAGATATAGATAGGTACCTGCATTTCAAGAAATTTAATATGCTTGGATAGATCCTCAATAAATCGTTATACATGTTTTGATAAATATCAGCATTTCTTTATTATTTCCCACTTCTACAATATCCGCTTGTTACATAGCAAATATGCCGTTCGTGTTATTGCAAAAAAATAATTTTTATCATAATTATAAGTATTGAAGAAATATAATCGAAAACTTTTATTTGAAAATTATAATCAAAAACTTAAACAAAATAAATTATGATCAAAAACTTTATAGAAAGTTAATTTTTTCAAAGTTGGGGTCATCGTATATTTATTGAGGGCCAACTTCACACTTGTCTTCTGCGGCATAAATCCTCGTGCGGTGTAAAGTTCGGTATCCTATTAAAAATTAAACAAAGAACTTTAGAAAAGAAATATAATTTTTAAGCAATGAAATCTATTTTCTTTAAGTTTTTTGGTAACAAAAGTTTTTATTCATGGTTATTAAAGAGTAAATTCCATCGTCTCAACCACCAATCAGAGTAGCGATCAAGTAACTGTTTCAATTTAATGTTCGGTTAATATATTAACCAAAAAAAAATAATTTTACTTTTTTAAATATTTATATTTAGCAATTATTACCAAACAATGGTTATATTATTATGTTTGATTATACTTATTAAATATTTGGAAAAGTAAAATTAACTTTGATTATATATATGTATATACATTAAACGAACGTTTGAATTATTTCACTCAACATTTTGTAGCTATCAAATTTTTTTTTTTCAGTGCTGGTATCCTTCTTAGTCTGACTCTTCTTCGTCGATTTTAGCCTCTGGTTAAGATGATCCCGTTGGTAATTATATTAATTACTTCTTCCCAGGACATAAATTTTCGGATCATTAGAGTACGCAAACCCCCCCACCCGACAAATTTTTGTCTTCGTTAAGGTGAGGATACCATCGAGGGGGAAAAATGTTATGGAATGATATCTATTCCAGTGGAAACGTTAAACAGTACTCTCAAGCTTAGCGTTTCTTCCCAGATCATTCCGATGTGTATTTTTCACACACTAAATACTGTATATTTCTAGTTGCGTCTAGAATTTTATTGCTGTTTTTATTAATCTTATTTAGTATATATAATTACTTTAAATTACCAGTTAAAAAAGCTAAAGTGCTTATATATCATTTTTTAAAAAAGCTTTTTGACAAAACTATTTATTATTATTTATTATCATACTCTCTCTCTTTCTTCAGTAGATTCTTCGTTACTGTCACTTTTTCTTGTTTCCGATATTTCGAGTTTGACGAGAAATAGCTGCGAGCGATTTAATCTGAACGTTCATTCTTTAAAAACGATCGCAAACTATCTTAAATCCGCGAAATGATTTCCTGCCGTGACTCGTTCATTGACAAAACGGGTTTTCGTATTGAGTATGTTGCGTCTGATGTAAGCTGATGTTTACGGCCAGCACGTGTTGCGCGTGAAATGCAGCGATGTCAGTAGCACAACGAACGTATCGCGATGTATCCCCGTCGTATCGTTTCTCTGCGATTCTTTTTGCTCTAAAATCACGAATTTATTTACTCGAAGAAAGATCAGCGCGTTTCGAATAGAGAAAGTCGAACAGAAAAATGTCAGAATAATATAAATAAGATCTTTAATTTTGATACACATCTGCAATTTAAAATAATAATAGTTGAATATAAGTTAACTCACTTATTCTATTCGCAAAATTACTTTCCTACATTCTGTTAAAATGTTACTAAAAATAATATTTTCAAGATCGGTTTTTTTAATAAATGATAAGTTATTTTATAAGTGTGAATTTTATATATATATATAATTGTAATACATAACGTTTTAAAGTATATTAATTTGAAGACGAAATTCTCATTTGAGAAAGATTAATTCATAAAATTATATTAAATTTGAAAAAATTATTTGTTATATTAATTTATTAAAATTTTTAATAGAAATTCAAAACAACAATATAGATAATGAACGTATCTTATTAAAAATCAATATAAGCTATAAAACTAACATTTAATTAATCAATATCAAAATATTATAGAAAGTCACACGTACACAAAATGTCTCTAAATTCACAGATACAATACTAATGTTTTCAAACAGATTAAAATACAATTGTCAAAAAATGAATCGTTATACTCCTTTTTAAAGTAAAACGTGTCGTACTTGTAAAAAAATAAGATCTCATTTCGGCTTCGAGTTTCATACCGCGCGTTCCGATACTTCCGATCGGTTCCGACGATTCGGCCGATCGCGTTGCATCGCGCCGAAACGTCGCAATCTGCATCCTATGCAGATTATGCGTGCGAGTTGCAGTTTCGCGTGCGAGGTTTATTTGCGTGCCGATAAGAGTGAGGCAGCGCGTTGTGAGGCCGACGCGATGTCGATGCCGAAGCTACCGGCGCGACAGTGATGTAACGGTGGAAAATAAAGCGGTGACTCGCCAATATGGATATTGGTACCGTGCGCTCGCTCGCTCGGTCGCATCGCGCGCGCGCACGCGTAAACACGCGCGTGTCGGCCCGCTGTTCGCGTAGAGCGCGCGTGAAGACGTGAACCAGGACTTTCCTACAATTCGGCCGGCAGTTTTTGGAAGTCGCCGCGTTGTACCGGGATGCGTTCGGTGACACGTGCGTGAACACCGTTATCGCGAGCTCGTCGAGACGTGTGTGCTGAAACATCGGACGCGAACGATCAATCCGCGAATCCAATCGTCCTATCTCTTACTCATGTGAATTACTAACGTGACCTCTTCCAGTATGAGTATTGCTACGTGGGACACGAACCGAATATAATTCACTGGTAAATTGAAAAAAAAATAGTACGATTAATCATTTGTTCGTGTATTATGATTTATGAGTAGTGATCTTGATAGGTGCAAACAAAAGCAACCATATCGTATCTGAATAGAAGTAAAAATTGTATGAACGTACTAACAGAAATTAACATTGTTCTTTATGTACTCTGGATAATATATATAGATTTAATTCGATTTTTCTTAATATTTCTATTTATCAGGGAATGATAAGTACATACAGGATGTTGTGCCATCTCGAAGATGTGAATTAATGTACTTCAACTGATCCATATTTTATGTTAATATATTTTCCTCTTTTTTCAACTTTTTTATTTGAGCATAATATTTTGAAATAGAGAAACAAGCGATTCAATTATCATTGAAAATATACGTATATCGTTGTTTGTTTTCGCTTTCGAACTTCTTTCTTTTCTTTTCTTTTTATTTTAGACAGTTTTTTATAATATTAAAGTAGAAATGTATATGTATATAAACAAACAATTTGCAAGTTATAAAATTAATGAATGAGTAGTAGTAACTTTATAATATCTCAAATATATATATATATATATTTACAATAACATAAATAATATTATAAATAATATTATTTAGTAGTAAAGAATCTCTTGACTAAAGAAGAAAGTATGATAATAATATGTAAGAGCAAAATAAAGTCTGTATAAAAGAAATATTTCAATACGAGCAAAAAATAAAAAAAACACAAATAAAAAACTTTTTATTTATATATATTATTTATATTTGATAGAGTAATAAATAATAATCCAATCAAGCAACGCGAAGAACTACGACTTTGAGTAACCTAAAAAAAACTTAGAGATTCCATCATACTCTATTTTTGTTGTAGAAAAAAGTTTCTGACGGCTGTCGAAATACTTATGGATCATTAATCATATATTAGTAAAAAAATTACTGCATATTATATATTAATTATAATCAAGAATATTACGCAATTATTAGGAAAGTTTAAAATTAGTAATCAATAGTGATCGTGCTTGGTTATAATTGATAACAATGTTCATACTGTAATTCATACTGTAAATTCATACTGTAAACGTAACTTTTTCAATTAATAATTATAAAATCAGAATTAATAACAAAACATTTTTATTCTTCCTTTAATTCTCTTTTTTTAAATTTATAACTTCATTGAAATTCTGCATAAATAATCTTGCGTTAAATCAATATTATCATTTAATTCACGATTTAAAAAAAAGAATATATATGTTGCAACGCGCGTTGTGCAGAATATTAAGACAAATAGCGCGGCTGGCAAAGCAAATTAAGGGGAAAATTAATTAAAATGTTGCAAGTGCGATCAATTAGCCACGCAATTAAGATCTTAATTACAGCCGCGTTCCATTTTATGGCCGCGCGCTGACATTTTTTCATGTTTTTAATTTACTCTTTTTCTCTTTTCTTCTCTGTTTCTAATAAGACTTGATTTTCGACGGATAATAACAAAAACAAAATAATAAAGCAAATTTGACGAAAGAGAAAAACGACTAATTGCTTCGCAACGCTTTCGCAGCAGCGATTTTTCGGCGCTGACTCTTAATTTTAAAAAACAATGCTGATGTACGACAACTTTCACAAGACAGGTTCTGATGCGTGCGTAATCAGGATGACGAGAACGAAATACGAGAGGAGAGAAGCGACCGACGAAGAGTTAGGCGATGTTTCGAACGGCGTAGACCAAAGAATTGTGGCAGTTTGACGCGGTTAATCAAGATCGTCACCGGGATCGATCACGGGAATCATGGGCAACGAATCATCCTGTTGCGCGTACCGTAATAAGAAGGTATGTAGGGTAAATATTTGCCAGTATTGCGATATATCATTGATGATACAAACAAGCAGGCCGCGCTCGCCAATATTTCCTAGTATTTGTAAAAGATGGCAGCACGCTGCCTTTTTGGAGCAAGATACTAGATTACGATAAGATTTACATCCGAAGTCAGCGCTAAATACGCCTGTAAGAAGCATTGGACCTCTTTGCGATTTTATGTCGAAATAAACGGTTTCGCGTAATTCTTCAAACATTAGAGGCATTATTTTTGACTATTTTGAAACAGCACCTGCTTGCAGATTTAAAATATTTCAAAATAGGATGCTCACATTTTTTTCTTTATATTTTTCAACTCCAAAAAGAAAACTGGTTACAAATCTAGCTTAATTTAATGGTCATTAAAAAATTTTTTTTTTTAAAGCCGAATGCTAGGTTACTGCCGGTTTTGTTATTGAGGTCACTAATATATAAAATATTAACTTACTTTCAATGGTACATTAGTATAAATTCAGTTGTGTTAATTTTTGCCCTTGTGTTGTTTTGTTTTATGGTTCTGCCAGCTTAAATATTAAACTGGCAGCGCTACTGTTTTCTTAGAAATAACATATAATATAAAATTGTTTCTGGTAAAACATAAATAGTACAAATTCAATCCTATTGATCTCTGATATTATTTTTCTTTTATTTTGAATTGGTCCTGCTAGCTTAATATTAATCGCGCCACGATTTTTTTTCGAAATGGCACAAGGTACAAAATTATCATTAATGGTACAACAAAATGAATACCAATAGGTACGAAAAATTCCAATAGGTACGATTTGATTCTGCTGATTTGGTCCTGCTAGCTTTATAGAGCTGATTCCGAAGGACGATCGTTTAAAGGTCACCGATATGCATACAGTTGTTCCTTTTTACACGACGAGAGAAGAGGAATCCGCCGATGGTACTTATAACGATCGGTTGCGCAGTCAGTCGAGCGGCATCATTAGATCTATCAATGTGTATACGAGGCAAAAACGCGTATTCTATAAGGAGATATCCATGGGAAGCGGGATAAACGGGCGTCCTCACGGGGAAGAGATTCCGTTTCTTTTTTATGCCTTTCATTACGATAAATATTGTGCATTTTGCAACTGTTGCGTGCGATGGAACGGGCACGCGGCCTTCGAATCGAGAATAACGAATGACCGCACAATATATGTGGTAGTTTATCTCCTAAAAACTATAAGAAAGTAAGATATTAGCTAAAATACGTTTTCTAAACTGTTCATCTTATTTATATTAAAAGTAATATTAAAAATCGATAATCGTAGATAATTAACATTTATAGTTCTAATCTCAATAAATTACGATATGAATTTTGAATAAATTATTGATTTAATGAAAATGAAAATTAAACTTAAATAGCACTAATGTTTCGTTAGCGTATTTTTGGCATTAGCGTTTTCGATATTACAATCTAAAATCTGTTAAATGTATATCAAAAATGAATTTTTCACGTAATAACAAAAAGATGAATTGTAGGACCATCCCTTGTTTCTTTTACCAAATTCTGTTCTCATTTGTTTAATAAGTGCTTCGTAGTCTGAGATGAACGTTATTCGACTTATTGAATTTTATTTAATGAATAAAAAAGTTCAAATTCTAATAAAAGAGAAATCTGCAATAATTATCGCGTGTTGTATGCCAAAGAAAAGACTTTCTCTAAAAATTTCTTTCTTCACTTAGTAGCGCAATTAACATTAAACAAAAATTGTATCAAACTGCTGTGACACCGGATAGAGTTAATATCTGGCGACAAAGCCCGTTTATAATCTCGTTACTTCCCGTTAACGCGTATAAGAATAACATATTTACAATGCTAATAATGTTGCGAAGACTTATGAAAAAATACGAATTGTATTAGTAACGTGATATTTTTCATTAGTAAACAAGAAACTCTTAATAACTCTCTTAGTAACAATCTCATCTTCACCAAAACTACTATTCAACAAAATTGGTGTCATAATAATGTATTTAATTAAAATCGAAATTAAGTATTTAAATTTTAATAAAATTGGAAAATTGCGCAAAGCGATAGAAATACTCCCATCACTGACAGTAGATCGATTATTGATATTCTTTTTTAGAAAGGCGGTTTACGTTAAGGCGCGCGCTTCTCCATTGTGTGAGTATCCAATAGATCACAATAGATACACCGGCATCTTGTAATAGTGAACATCGAAACAGCATGAAAAATCTCACGAAGAATAGCATGAATAGGGAATAGCCATTAAAATAATAAAAATCTTAAATTTCAATGTTTTCAAATGAAGTAGGGGGAATCACGTTTAGAATCTCTGAATATCTGAATTACTACGAGCTTTCAGTGAAGCACCATTATTCTAGAGCTACGTAACTCTGTTACGCATATTTTATCAAGAATCCATACTAAAAGACACACGCCACGTCCTAGCAATAGGCCTTCTTTTTAGCTGAACTTCTCGCACGGTTCATTTTTTTGCCTTTTCTTCTCCAAAGTGGAGAGAAAAGGAAGAAAGATGAATCAGCCAAGAACTTCAACTAAAAAGAACAGACCAAATAAATCGACAAATTACTATTTGCTTGGGCACAGAATACTCAATCAAGTTCTACGCTACATCGTGCAATAACAGCAAAAAGGGAACCGGAAGGAGTAGCGGTACTGCACGAAGAAAACCCAGCTGATGGATAACGTTATCCCTCGATGACATTTAAGGGCAGACTGTAAATATAAGAATTACACCGGATTCTCTCACGAGGGTGACGATGGCAAATTAAAGCATTCGCGGAGAAAACACGTGCGGATAGTGAGTCTAGATCGCGGCCACTAACAAGGACCTTTCGACGGTGACGCGATTGACGAAATGGAGAAACGAAATGGAAAACAACACTAACACATTCCTCGTATTAATCCAAAATAGATGGTGGTCAAATGGTAAACCGTTGAGGGCATTGCGGTATACAGATTCGGAGCATTTCTAGGAAATATTTGCATATTATTAAGCATTGCTTAGGCGTTAGCGGGCACTACTAAGCATTGTTTAGGCGTTTGCGGGCAATGCTAGGCATTGCGAAAACGTTAGTGGGGACTAATAGGTATTGCGAAAGCGTTAGCGGGTACTACTAGGCATTGATTAGGCTTTTGCGGCCATTGCTAGGCATTGTGAAAGCGTTAGTGGGTACTACTAAGTATTGATTAGGCGATTTGCGGGCACGACTAGGCATTTCGAAAGCCTTAGGGGGCACTACTAGGTATTGGTTACGCGTTAGCGGGCACTACTAGGCATTGGTTAGGCTTTTGCCGACACTAGTAAGCATTGCGAAAGCGTTAGCGGGCACTACTGAACATTTGTTAGGCTTTTGCAGGTATGCCAAGCATTGTGAAAACGTTAGAGGACACTACTAGTCATTGCGAAAGCGTTAGCGGGAATTACTAAGCATTGGGAAAGTGTTAGCGGGCACTACTAGGTATTGGTTAGGCGTTTGCGGGCACTACTAGGCATTGCGAAAGCGTTAGCGGGCACTACTAAGCATTGGTTAGGCGTTTGCGGGCACTGCTAGGCATTGCGAAAGCGTTAGCGGGTACTATTAGACATTGCCTAAGCGATAGCGAGCACTACCAAGCATTACTTATGCGTTGGCACGCACTACTAGGCATTGGATAGGCGTTTGCGGGCACTACTTGGCATTGCGAAAGTGTTAGCGGTCACTAATAGGCATTGCTTAAGCGATAGTAAGCACTACTAAGCATTGCTTAGGCGTTGGCGGGCATTACTAGACATTGCGAAAGCGTTAGCGGGCACTTCTATGCATTGGTTAGGCTTTTGCGAGCATTATTAGGCATTACTGGACATTAGTAGGCATTACTAGACATTAGTAGGCATTGCTGAGCATTAGCGGGCAATATTAGGCATTTAATGGGAGTTACTAGGCATTAGTTGGTATTATTAGCCATTAGTAGACATTAATTAGAAAATTTGTTAGTAATGTCCACAAATTATTCATTAGTAGACATTTGTGTACAGTCAGAAGCAATGAGGTTGCGACACTTTTTTTCGGATGAGTTTAAGAATACGCGTTCAAGTTCAGGATGCGAATCCCTCTCTTGTGCAATGAATGAATATGATCGTATGAGGTTTGTTAAATGTCTGTACAATGTGTAGCATAAATTTAAATGTTATGCGTCGCAAAAAATTCGTGAAATATCAGTTGAACACAGCTTATAAGCAATATAATAATTTTTATAATTTTTATGATTTTTATAATTTTTTATAATTTAATAATTAATTAATAGTAAATTAATAAAATTTTTATCATTAAATAAGAGAAATAAATAAATGTATGCTATGCCATTTGTTTTTATTAAGTTTTGAAAATTACAGAGTCCAAGTGGCGACCATTTTTTTCGATACACATTCGAAGCTGATTTCTGAAAGTTTCCATCACTCGAGCAGTAATTTGAGGCGATATTCCTGTAATTTCTTTTTAAGGCTGTATTCTTTTTAAGGCTGAACCTGTAGCTCTAAAATTTGAAACCCACAACAGTATTGTTTTGCGATCTGGAACTGGAGCATGTCTACCAAGCGCGAAGTGAGTACGAAAAGTTCTTTGCGTCGTAATCACAGATTCGTTACTTTTCAAAAATGTTTCGATAACGAAGGCACGATGCTCACCCGTCCAATTCATGACGACAACTGAAATGGCAAGGCGTGAGCTACCAACCGACTACGCTAAGCTCCCCCTCTCTTCAATGATTCGGGCACAGTAGCGGTGCAAAATGTGGGAGATCATTTTGCCGGACCCTGTATAATTAGATTTAAATTAATAATCAATTAATAATTATTAATTTGTAATTTTTATAACACTTTATAAATTATAACTGTTAACTCGTAATTATAACTCGTAATATATAACTCTTTATAACACTTTCATATTTTAAATGAAATAAATATACAACATGATACATGCACACTATTATTTACTTATATAAT